CATCATTTTTTTCCCTTTTTTGGAAGAATAATATTTCATTGTACAGCTATGCCATCAGTTGGTGAACAGTTGGGTTATTTCCACTTTTTTGACTATCATGAATAGAAATGCTATGAATATTCATGTAGAATTTGTTTGAATTTGGCTATGTATCCAAGAATGGGATTGTTAAGTCATATGGTAGCAAGACCTTGTCTCAAAAAATACTATTAAGTATTTTAGTGTGTTTGCATAATTGTGCAACCATTACTACAGTCTAACTTTCAAACAAAAAGAAACCCTGCACCTTTAACCTTTTTGAAGAGTCCCAGTATGTTTTTAAGTAGTGGAGCTTGAACCCAGGGCCTCAAGCACTGAACTGCTATACCCCCAGCTCTTTTTTTTTATTTTGAGAGAAAGCCTCACTGTGTTGCCCAAGCTGGCCTGGGACTTGCTATTCTCCTATCAGCCTCCTGAATAGCTGAGATTAAAGGTATGTGGCCACCACACCCAATGTCTATGCAATTATTGCTAAACTGTTTTCAAGAAAGTATATAAAAAGTCAAATTTCCAAAAGAAACCTTCTAGAAGACCTGTTTTTCTCTACCCTTACCTGCTACTAGTTTCTGATCCTTTTTATGAACAACAGCAAAAAGGCTGTGATCCCTGTATCCCTGTATGTATTGCTTTAAATCATGTGCTTTTTATGAGATTGAGCACTTGTTCATGGTCAAAGCCCTTTGGGATTTTTTTTTCTTTGAATCTCTTTTTAGGTCTAGTGCTTGAACACAACTAGGGTTGTGAAGAGAGGTGTGAGCACAGTGGAATATAGAGGTTCTATAGACAACTGACTCTACTTTAAGACCTCCATTTTCTCATCTATAAAATAGGGATATAGAATTAGTCTCAAAGCATTGTTGAGGATTAACTGAGATAATGCATGAAAGGCAAGGAGCACTCAGTCTAGTAGAGAAAATAATAGACAACGCTACCAGGAACCATAAAGGGAGAGAGAGGATGGCTGACTAAAGTCAAGTCAGTAATCAGAGGTGTACTTGAGTTATCAGGATTTCTCAGGCAGTCTGTTCAGGCTGGCTAGGCAGTTCAGAGGGCAACTGGAAAATCCACAGAGGTACTAGGTGCCATTGTAAAACCTCCAGGTCCTAGGGGAAAGGCAAGATTGAAAGGGGAGGCCAGGGTGGAATTGGGTTGGTTCTGTCTTATTCTGCTTTCCCTGGTTCATACTGATCAGATTTTTAAATGATGCTGTCCTTCAACCTCATACATCAATGATGGTACAAAACAGATAATATCAGCAGGAAGAGGTAGGGAAGGCAAGGGATTTGGGTGGCCCAATAGACTATAGTGGCATCTGGAAGCCCCACCATGAAACTACTTCTTGATATACAGCTACTCAGTTCTCCCTATTGAACAGGCTATGTTCAAAGTGTACTGCAAAGTGTCCACAACTACAGCTTCATGCCCCTGAGCAAACAGGCTATTGGAGACAGAGTGTACCATGAAGATGGACACAGACTGGGTCTCATGAGTGGACAGTCTATGAAGACCAAGCACATTGTACAGAGTGGCATGGCCTGGGTTCCCTGAGCCAACAAGCTATGAGGAGAAATCCACAATGCAGACATGTGCCTGTCCTATCTCCCTCTCCCATCCCCCATCCCTCTTCTTGTCCCCTCTCCCAGGTTCCCTTAGGTGCTGTTGCTCATGGCCCACAGCCATTTCTCAAACTTGGGCTCTCTAGTCACCTCTATGAGTACTTTTCCCTTCTACCTTCATTCTCATTGGTTGCGTTATCCTCCCTCTCCACTCTCTTTTACCTCTCCCAGAGGTCAGGACTCATCCAGAGCTTAAAGGAGGGATGGGGCTAGGACTTTGGCTAAGTGGTAGTGCACTTGCCTGACATGCATGAGGCACTGGGTTCAATTCTCAGCACCACATATAAATAAATAAAATAAAATATCTATCAACAACTAAAAAAAAAATATTTTAAAAAAGAGCTTAAAGGAGGGAAAAGGATGGCAGAACACACTCCCAACCCCCACCCTTGTATAATTCTCTGCCCTGTACCAGTTCTTATTCTGTGACCATAAGAATCACCACCACCTATCGCACTGTTTTATGAGACAACAAAAGCACTGTTGGCCAAAGGAGGGCTTACTATTTAACTCATTTCTAACTGCATCCAGTGAGTGCCACAGAAATGCAAGAAAGAGTCAGGCCACCCATTCCCACACCTGCAGCAGTAGGGTTAGCTATTGGCAACTGAAGGAACTGTGTTTTTTTTTTTTTTTCTTGGAGCTTTAAATTGACTTTCATTTGCAACCTGACTTTTCTGAATTCTCAAAAATGATATTAAATCACTGGAGTTATCCTTTTCCTCTGTAATCTCCTTCTTGATATCTGTCTCTCTGCTCTAACTTTGCATGGTTGCTCTACTTTCAGCTATTGTCTTGGTACCCCAGGAATTAATGCTTTAGGTTTGTTCAAACTATAGGTTTCTGTAGATGTTCCTCACCAAGTTGAAGAAACTAAACTCCTTTTTTTCTTAGTTTGCTGAGAGTTTTTATCATGATTAAATGTTGGGTTTTTTTCAAATGCCCTTTTTATATCTTAATCTGATCATATAATTTCTCTTCTTTAGCCTATTGATAGTAATGAGTTACACACTGATCTTTGCATGGTTGACCCAGCCTTGTGTACTTGGAGTAAATCTCAATTGGTTGTGATATAATCATTTTTACATATAATTGCATTAGATATGCTATTTGTTTTTGAGGACATTTTCGTTGATTTCATGAAAGATATTTGAAGTTTTTTTTTCTTTTATGTAATATCTTTTTCTGATTTGGGGCATTAGAATAATGGAGTTCTCATATTTTTGTCTGATTTTGGTATTAGGGTAATGCTGTCCTCATAAAATGAAAAAGTACTGCTTCTGTTTTAAGGAAGAAAATGTAGAGGTTTGGCATAATTTCTTCTTTAAATGTTTGGTAGAATGTGACCATGAACCAATCCAAGCCCAGTGGTTTCTGTTTTGGAAGGTTATTAATTATTTATTCTGTTTATATAATAGATACAGACCTATTAATACTATTTCTTATGTAAGTTTTGATAGATTATATACTTCATGGAGTTGATCCATTTCACCTATCAAATTTGGGGCATAGAGTTATATACTATTATTCTCTTTTTAATCTGTGGGAAAGTAATCATGGCCCCTTTCATTTCTGCTGTTACTAATTTATGACTTCTCTTAAGAAAGCTTACTTAGAAATTCATCTATTTTTATTGATCTTTTCAAAAAAATTTTAGTTTCTTGATTTTTTTTTTCTATTGATTTTTTTGTTTTCAGTTTCAATGATATCTGCTTGGTTACTTTTATCTTCCTTACTTGATTTTAATTTGCTCCTCTTTTCCTTGTTTCCTAAATGAAAGCTTAGATTATTAATGTTAGATCTTCTTTTCTAACATACGCATTCCACACATGAATTTCTCTCATATACTTCTTTTCTTGTATCCCATAAATTTTGATGTTTTTTTATTTTCATTTGATTCAAAATATTTTTTTTATTTTCTTCTTCACACTTTTTCTTGACTTGTATGCTATTTAATCTCCAAATACTTTGAGCCTTTCCAGCTGTATCATTCTGTTATTGATTTCTAGTTTAATTCCTTTGTGTTCTTAAGAACATAGTTGGTATGACTTCTCTGCTTTTTAATTTGTTAAGGTATGTTTCCCAGGGTATGATCTTTCTTGCAGTGTTCCACCTAGACTTGAAAAGAATATGTGTATACTGTTGTTGGATGAAGTGTTCAGTAATGTTCATTAAATCCTATTGATTGGGGCTGGGGTTGTGGCTCAGCGTTAGAGCGCTCGCCTAGCACCTGCGAGACACTGGGTTCGATTCTCAGCATCACATAAAAATAAAGGTGTTGTGTCCAACTACAACTAAAAAAAATGTTTAAAAATGTATAAATAAATAAATCCTATTGATTGATGTTACTGTCAGTTCAACTTTTACTAATTTTCTGCCTGTTGGATCTGTCAATCATTAATAGAGACTATTGAGGTCTCCAACTATAGTAGTGAATTTATTTTTCTTTCCCATCAGTTTGCTGCATATATTTTGAAGCTCTGTTGTTATTATAATTGGACACAATATCTTTATTTTATTGATTTACATGTGTTGCTGAGGATTGAACCCATGGCCCTGCATGTGCTAGAAGCACTCTATAACTGAGCCACAATCTCAGCCCCCACCATGTATCTTTCTCTGCACCTTTATTCTTAATCTATCTATGTCTTTATATTGAATGGAACTTCCTTGTATTTTGAACAGTCTCTTTAAATTTGTATGTTTGTCTATTTAATTAGTCTTTGTCTTTTGTGTATTGAAACTATCCACACTTCTGGTGATTATCAATATAATTGAATTGATGCCAATCATATTTACAACTGTTTTCCGTCCATTGTCAATGATTCTTTTTTGTCTTTTTCTCTGCCTTTTCTCGTTTTAATTGGTCATCCTGTATGAATCCATTTTTTCTTTTCTCTCTGCATATTAATTATACTTATTTTTTAGTGCTTTCTAGTGGTTGGCCTAGAGTTTGAAATGTACATTTACAACCACTCAAGTCCACTTTCAAATAATACTCTCCTACTTCTCAGTTAATGCAGGTACCTCAGAGTGTTTCCAGTTCCTTCTTCTATTTTTGATTATATCATTGTCATTCACGTCACTTGCCTATAAATCACCGAGTATATCATTGTTATTATTTAAATAAACTATTAGATCAATAATAACTTACTGAACAATTTAGACTAAGTATAAAATATTTTTAAAAAAATAAAATAAAGAGAAGGAAGTTTCTTGATACTTAGCCCAGACCAGTATTGAACTCCAGGTCTCAAGAGATCTTCCTGCCTAGGCCTCCTGAGTAACTGGGACTACAGGTACATACCATCATGTTCAGAAGAAATATAAAAGATTGTATTTTACCTTCTCATATTGCTTTCCCGATGCTGATCTCTTCCTTCTGTTGATCCAAGTTTCTTACATATTTTTTCCCATCTCCGCATTTGCATTTGCATTCCCTGCAGGTCTCCTCTGCAACTTCCCTGCAGACCTGTGGTAGATAAGGGTGATGTGTAAGCAGAGTGTTATCACAGCAGCAATGAGTGTTGCCAGATACTCTGATAAGAACCAATCAACTGGGCATTAAGAGAAAACAAAGCCCAGTGGCAAAGTGACAAGATTGACAAACTTGCCCCACAAGGAATGCCCACAGCAAGGCAGCAGATGGGTGCACTGTTCCTACCAGGAATCCCTGCCCTGTATACTAGCCAGCCGTGAACTGCCCAGCTCCAACTCCCTCAAATCCATACCTGGGTGGAGTCCTCACTTCTCTACAATAATAGCAGATGCTCCCTTCTCAGGCTTTCATCCTTATTTTGTCCTGTGTCAGTGGCCCAGGATTCAGTGATGATTTGTCTCCAGCCTGGCTCCATCTGGGCATCTTTACATCTGCAGTAAGTCAGAACTGGGGATTGGGCAGCTCTCAGCAACTGCTAAGTCAGTTGAGCATCTGGGTCTCAGACAGCTAAATATTAAGCATTTTCTTCAAGTGGGACTTGAAAGGACCCTGAACACATTCCCAGAACAAAATCCCTGTGAAGGTGTTTATCACTCCTAAGAAATGTGAGCCTCCCTGAGGGGAGAGCACTCATTCCTCAGTAAGGGCCCAGGGCCTACTCTTCTCTGAATGTCAGTTCCCAGAATATGCAAAGACTTCTTTCCACTTTATTTTCTGGGGTGAAGTAGTCTTGCAGCAACAATTTTTTTTTTCTCTCTCGCACCATTTATTCTTCTTTATTCATAGCTCACTAAGGGTGAGGGACTTTGCATACTGCTCCATGAATGGATGAAGCATGCCTCCGTGGGAAGGGATGGCAAAGGCCCATCCTCAAACCAGGTCTCGGCTTTTAGGTAGAAGTTTTATAAATTGTGATTCCCTCTACTTCTTTCTTTCAGGAAATTTCAGGGGGAAGGGTGTAGCAGAGAATGCAGAATAACTGAAGAAATGTGTACATTGACCTGGCGGTGTCAGCTTAGCCCAAAAGGACCCCAGATAGCTTGCAGTTGAGGCACTTTCCTTAACACTCTTAGAAAGACCTTTTTAAAAAAGAAGCTTTAATAACTAAGTGATATATACTTTTCCCAAACCTGATTATGAGGGATTTCTGTACAGAAGACAAGCAAAGTATGAAGCTTTTAATAGCAACCTGCAGGCAAGCCAATGAAGGTGGCATCACACCCCTCAGTGCTGGCAAAAATTGTTTATTTTTTTCTTCTGGTGCTCATTGAAGTGAATGTTCTCAACACTGTTTAATAACACTTCCCAAACATCCTTTAAATTCATTTAAGTTTGCCCGAAAGATTTCTAGTGGTTTGTAGACCCCATGAAAAACATTTCATCAACTCTTGCCTTATTCTCTAATTGGAAGGAAATTACTTAATCCCATATAAATGTAAATGCTGTTAACACCCATGCACATCCTACAGTAAAAAGGAACTTTGCTTAGTAGCAGCCTATTTTTAATAATTAGTTTAGCAGTTGTTTACCAAGCACTGCTATGAAATAGCTCCATGCTGGGCACACAGGCCCAATGGGAACCTGACCACAATGCATGACATGATCTGGTGTTTGGGGACAGGCCACACATTTCTCTCTTTTGGACTTCCTTCTGCATCTGACTATTATGAATGAGCTCACATTCCTTTCCGGCTGTATTAGAGGACTTTATTGACTTTACTTTTCATCCTTTCGACATGCTTTTGATTAGATTTGCAAGGACAATGTCATTAGCTAGGACAGCCTTTTAAAAATCAAGACCTATTATTCTCATTTTTAAGAAGTCATTCAAGTCTGCATTGCATAAATGTATTTTAATAAACCAAGCCTGCTATTTCCCATAACTCTGCTTTACCCTCTACAGATATATTTTCTGTAGAGGAAGCATTTTGCTTCAAGAATGGGAACAGAATGAAACATTTTGCTTCAAGAATGGGAACAGAAACTCATCTATCTATCTAGAAACTCAGGTCACTTCTTACTTTTTCTTTAAGCATCTAATTCATCACATTTCAAGGATGATCTGTAGTTTGCCAGTATAGTCTTGATGTTATCAATCATGCTTCACATCCAAGGAAACATGACCATCTCAATCCCAGCTATGGTGTTGCCAACTCCACAGCTGTATTGCCTGCCCTCCCTCAATGCTAGCTCAGCCTCCAGCCCCGCTGGGGTATGCAGGGTTGTCAGAGGTATAAGTTTGACTGCCAGGGTCAGCCTGCCAATCCCCTCACTCCTTTCTGTAGAAGCTTCCCTGGTCCTTAAACCAGACCACAAGGCATCTCTGCTGCACTTTTCAGAGGACTTTTCCTTTTTTCTATTAGCATTTATTTCATGATAATTTTATTCCTTGTTTATTTATCTGCTTTCCCAACTAGACTGATTCCATTGAAGTAGATAATGTTCCTTGTATCTTTGTGCCTCAAGGCCCACATATATCTCATTCTAAATAGCATGATATGACTGTGTGTGTGGTGGTACACATCTGTACTACCTCCCATATCTGTGGGAGGCTGAGACAGGAAGATAACAAATTTGAGGCAAGCCTCAACAACTTATCAAGATTCTGTCTCAGAATTAAATAAAAAGGACAGGGGATATAACTTAGTGGTAGAGGGCCCATGGGTTTAATCCCTAGTACTGCAAAAAAAAAAAAAAAATCAAGGATAGGGTGTGGTTTAATGATACAGTCTTACTTAGCATTCATGGAGGTCCTAGGTTAGATCCCCAGCACCCAGAAAAAAAATAGCGGTATCCTATACTTATTTGTTGGTTAAATAAATTAATCATAAATGCTGGAGTAGAAAAGAAATGCATGCATTCTTAATCACAATTACAATAAGGAAACCAGAGGAATCTTATTTGAGAATATATTAACAAACCAATAAGAATGATTTATCTTTTCTTATGAAAGAAGTGGAATTAAACATTATACCTGTTAAGGAGGCACATTCTTAAGATACTGGTTGTGCAGTATAGTGAAACTGGCATTCTGTGAATTGGGACAATGTAAATCAAAATGTCCTCATAGGAAGTACTTTCTGAAAGGCTTTTTCTATATCCCTACTACTCATACTCTGGGAAGCAATAATTCTACTTCCAGGAATCTGTTATGAATAAGGGCCTTCATACAGAAAAGGCTTCTATGCAGAGACACTCACTGTCGTACCATTAAAGTAATCCGGAAGAAGCCTGTGATCCCAGCAACTCAGGAGACTAAGACAAGGTGATTGCAAGTTAGAGGCCAGTCTCCACAATTAACAAGACTGTCTCAAAATAATTCTAAAAGGGGCTGGAGAATCTCAGTGATAGAGTACCCCCTGGGTTCAATCCCCAGTAATACAAAATTAATCGACTAATTAATTAATTTAGAGACCTAATATCTAACATGGGGAGGGTGGAATGGAATCTGTCACCTTACTGCATGTCAATAAGATAACAATCTTTCCAGCAGCTGTGTAGTAAGTTCAAAAACACAAGGCAACATCCATGGATGGTTTGACCTTAACGACTTAAATATGCATGCTTCTAGGGGGAAAAAAATCAAGGAAAAACAAAGGTGCTTGGTTAGGTGGTCTTGTTGTAGGCAAGTTTAAAATTTGCTTTAAATTGTTTTAATTTTATATGTGTAATAAGTGGAAATCATAAAAAGCTCAGACTTATATAAATTTACCAGTAAGAAAACAATCTGAGGGTTCACATGTCATCTGGGTGATCAGAGCAGAAATTACCTCTGAAGGTCTGGCTTTTCTCTCACGTGGGCCTAGGCACTGTGGTTGGTGTGGATGAGAACACCGCCTTCTCATGGCCTACATGTGACCGGTGTGGCAATGGGAGATTGGAACAGAGGCCAGAAGATGGGTAAGGCTGCCCTGAAATTCCCAGGCCCCAAAGAGCATAACCTAGCCCCAAAGCCCCACAGCCTTGCTGCCTTCAGCAGCTTCCCTAAGAGCTCCGAGGGGAACCTGCTCTGCTGAGCTGCAAGAAAAAGGCCACTATACCTGTGGGTTTTCCTAACTAGTATTTTCCTGTTGGTTTTGCAGATATTCCTGTCTTTTGAAAGAGCTGGCTTTTGTCCTTAGCTCCTTTATTATTAGTCAGAAGAAAAAGGAAAGACAGGATCAACATGAATAAGTGAGACCAATGTGAGGACTCTATAGAGTGTCCTGTGCAAGTGGTCCAGGCTTTTCCAGACACCAGACACCAATGAGCAGCACTGAACAGATATCCCTTCCCTGTCTATTTTTTCTGTACCTCCTCTTGGGTCATGGTGAGGGCTGGATGTCCATGCATTTTGTTTCTTTGGAGTCAATTCCCTGGCCTCCCAACTGGACTTTGTAGTGTGACAGGCAGAAAAGGCCTTTACTTGTTCCCTCTTTAGGAAGCAAAGAACAAATGTTGCCTTGATGCCTACTGGGTTTGGTGGCCTTTGTATACAAGTCATCTCCAGATCACATTGAAGAGGCCAGAGAACATGGATTCAAGTGGAAGCAGTAGGGGACCAAAGATAGTGGTACCTTCCCCTCTGCTCCATGTAAATGATAATTCTCTGCCTGTCCAAGGGTCCCCTCAGCAGTCTTTAGCCACTGTCACCAAAGCCTGCATTCATCCATCAGAATAGAATCAGACTCTGGCCAATCTCAGGATTTTGATAGCAAAACTCTCTTGTCTCCCTCAGCAAACATTCATTTTTAGAGAAATGTGTGTCTGTTGCTAGAACTCGTCTAATTGGGCCTCTTCACTTGTTTGTTTTTCCTGTGCATTTTCACACAACAGAGGCACCTTTTTCTGTGGAGATTGTTGTGAGTTGGTCACATCTCCTGTTTTCAAGAGGCACCTGCAAGTCTTCCTGGACTGCCCCTCAAGGCCCCAGTGCAGCGTGAAGGTTAAGGTAGGAGCTGGTACCTAGAGCGCATGCTCATTCTCCACATGTACCTGTGGAACTCGAGGGCAGGGGAAAATTGGAGCACTTGCGTGTTCTTTGTCCACCTTATGGTATTGATGTGTGTGACTCACAGCTGGGAGGGACCTATACCCAGAGCTCTCTCCAGCCCTCAGAGTACCTCTTCACAAATAGTCTCCATATTGTAACTTCAAAGTCATGTTTGACTTAAAGCTTCCACTGAAGCTTTGAAGAAAAGACAGGCAGTTTAGACTTAGCCTGTTAATTTTAAGAACAAGAGTTATTTTTGCATGCGTACTTAATAGTTTTAACCCAGCCCTGTTCCCCTGTCGTTGCAGCTGTTGCAGGGCAGTATTTCTTCACTGCTGAGGTTTGCTGCCTGTGAGGATGGGGTAAGTACAGGGAGTCCCAGCCCAGGTATGCCCAACATTCTTGAGCCTGAGTGAGCAATCGAGCAATCATCTGTAGAGAAAGAGCCCTCTGCCATTTATGTTCAGTTACAACAAATCCCACTGATTAGCCTACCTTGAGAATTAAAACCTGGATCAGACCAGCCACAGTGGTGCATGTTTGTAATTCCAGCTACTGGGGAGGCTGAGGGAGGAGGATCACAAGTTTGAGGCCAGTCTCAGCAACTTATGAGAC